TGTGGCCAGCCCCATGGTAGTCTAGTGGTTGCCGCCAGGCTGGGTCCCACCAGGCTGGGTCTCACGTGACTGACAACAGTTTGAATACCGGCCCTGACGGCTTGAAGTGTGTGCTGGACACGTGTGCATGCCCAAAGTCCCAACAGGAAGGACGAGTGGAGAAGGGACTAGAGCGTGACCACGCCCCACTGGGACTGCTTTCTTCCTCTCCCTGCCTCTCTCTCTCTCTGGCAAATGCACGTGCTCTCTGGCAATTAAAAATTAAAAGGAAAGGCACCAGCAGCTAGCGTAATGGCTATGTTGCTGAACTTCCATGTAGTCGACCGCAGTTCGAGTCCCAGACCCGGTGACTTAGAGTCATGCCAGGCGCGTGTGTGTGCGTGCCCAAGATCCCAAGAGGAGAATGGAGGAGAAGGGATTGCAGCGTGGCCATCCCCCCTGGGGGCTGATTTCTCGCTTTCTATCTCTCGGTCTCTCTCTGTCTTTCTGGCAAGTGCACGTGTCCGGTAGCAAAAACCTCTCAAAAAAAAAAAAAAGGAAAAAAGAAAACAGCAAGAATGAAAAGCCAGTCCTGACTTTACCCCAAACTCTGACTGTTCCTAAAATCCTGTGGGCTCGGCAGACCCCATCATTGATCCTTGCTTGTCTCCTCCTCGTTGGAAAAGTAGGGCAGTCTAGGTCTGCCTTGAGCCAGACGAGGACTGAATAAAGTTTGTCTCTACTGCAGTCCAGCTCGTGTCTCTCTGTGGAACTCATTAGGTGGTTCTTTTTCACTTATTTAAGCTCCTCTGTGATTTTCTACCTGGAAGACACCGCTCCAACTACTTCGTTCGCACAAGGACTCGGAGGCAGACAGTGGTACAACTCCCTCCTGCAGATGAAGAAACTGAGGCACAGAAACAGGTTCAACTGCCTGCCGACCCAGGCAGTCGGCCTCCGGAGTCTTTGTTGTCAACCATTTCTACTGCCTCTCATCTCACCACCAGAAGGTCACGTTAGCTCATGGGAACATAGAAGAGGGATGTTCTCAACTGATCTGGGCCCTGGCTTTTAGGGAGTATTCCTTATGTCTGAGAAATGGGTTCGAATACTGGAGCTAGTTCTCCAAGGTTGTGGACGCATTCAGCGTAGTGACACAGGCCGTCCGCCTGAGGGGGCGCCAGCCCCGCTGGCTGAGTCCGGGGAGGAAGGAGGGGACCTTGGAAACGAATGTGAGCTCAGACTCCTAGGACCACAGGACTAGAGAACAGAGCATCTTAGAAGGCTGAGAACAATGCCTCTCAGAACGTAGAACAAAGGCCACTGGAATCGTAGGCTAGCGGGCACACAGCCTCACAGTACCCCAGGTACAAAAGGCGCTTAGATGATGGTCAAAGCAAAGACTCTTCCAACGGGTCTTATCATTTCAGAATTGGTGATATGACCGACAGAAGCAAGACTGGCTACAGAAGTTGCCTGACCTAGTGCAAGGTGAAAATCCTGACCGTTTGCTCAAAATATAGTAATTTCAAGACAGCAAGAGTATAACATTAAATCAAGAGGTTCCATGCCCATTAAGCAGACTCTGCTTAGAAGCATAATTTTATCGGAAACGTCTGTATCGTTTCGCAGCCAAGTTTCTGGGAAGGCTTCCTGGAGGAGGAGGCGAAATCAGAACTCGACCCTCTCTTTTTTTCTCCCAGCGAAGCCTCAGAAGCTGAAGGTTAACGGGCAGGGTAGGAGCAGCTGCCAGACTGTCACGTGGATCCACTCTCTTATTTATAGATCACCTCTTCCCCTCCCGCCGGACAGTCCAATGGTAGCCAGGGCTCGCCTGCAAGAGGGCGGAATCAACTGCAGGACCGGGGAGACACCGACCAATGGCACTGGAGCAAAGGCGGACTTGTTTCATTGTGACGCGTGCGGGGGGCGTTGCCAGGTCCCAAAGGCAGAAGCACTGGGAGGCGTGGCAAGGCCAGCCTTAAGTCGAGTGAGTAGGCAGCTGCGAGCATGCGTCGTGTTGGGCGGCACGATTGCGCGGCCGAGCATCTTCGTAAGGGAAGGTACCAGCCAATAGGCGGCGGTTGCCGTGCCGCCGGGGGCGTGGCCATGGC